TACTTAATAATTGTAAAGAAATTAAGCTGATGTGATTATATGAAAATGGAATAAATCACAGACAGAAGCTAAAAGGTTTACGGCAGTAGATTTCTTTGTATAGAACATACAGGATTTTAAATTGAAGAAAAAGTAAGCTGCCTTATTCTTTTTGTTATAGGACAATTGTTACTTGAACTTTGTACCATTGCGTATACTGACACCATAGATATCAGATCCTGTCTCTTATACACATCTAGATGTGTATAAGAGACAGGTACAGTATCAAGGAATCAAAATTTAATCGTGTACATTACCCCCATACACTGCAACGCTTGAGTTTCAACATACGGGTAACTAAGTTGTAACTTTCATGTGTAAATTGAGGGCGCCATTGAAAACGATGATGCTTTGGCGAATTTTGATTGGCTGAATCTAAGGCAGCCATCTTGGGTGGTACACACACAGGTCTGCATAATTTGAACATCAAATACATTGTAGTTTAAGCGTTTTATATTCTTATTACGTCTCTATGGATTGCCCAAATATGGGTTTGAATGGTGATGTCACACCCAAATCATAAGTATTACATGAAACTAGATTAGACAGCTTGAAACATATGCCAATATATCAATTTCATCATCATCATAATCTACGTTTTGAGTCTTTGTGCATTTTGGTGATGGGTTGGACTTTTCTTAATTTGATGACAGATCCCCAAGCTACTTATTCCTGAGCCAATTGCTGACTTTGACCTTTTGCCCTAAGGTCGCTTTAGATCACTTCCTCCCATGTTTTCCGAGTTCTGCCTCTACTTTTTCTACCTTCAACCTCAATACTCCTGCATCAGTAAACCCAGTTACCCTCCTCCATCCTTTAATTATGCCCAAACCAAATTTTTCTGATCTGCAAAGTTCTAATGCCTTCATTGTAGTTTATATAGAATCATAATCTTAGGAACTATGCAAACAATGATAAAAATATTAAAAGATTTAAATTGTTGAAAACATGAATCTTAAAAATCTTATAAATCTTGAATAAATTTCTTTTACAGAACTGAGGAAAAATGTGGAGCAGTTCCTCTAGTTGGGCTGAGGTGGTTGTAGTGAGTGTTGCCATTTTGCAATATACTTTAGCTACACGTACAACAATCACACCTAACTACATCTCCATTGAGGTAGGAGCGGAAAGCATTGCTTTCACATGTGTTTCATACCTGGAACCTATTGATGCCATACAAAGCCACTGGATGGAATGGAAAAAGAACACGGCAACGATTGTCCAAAATGATACAGTGTTAGTTGACGAAGCAAAGTACAGTGTGGTTGGGTCATCAACAATTTCAGCAATTACAATTACACAGAATCTAACTGTTCACAATATTGAATTGTCAGACAGCGGTAATTATTCATGCAATCTTGAATCAACGTCTCAATTCTTTGTAAAATCGTCATCAAGTGCTGGGCTCTCTGTTAGTGCTCTTAAACAAACAACGGACGTGACGAAACTCACAAATGAAATGGACAACAAAAAAACAATATTAACACCTAACTATATCTCCATTGAGGAAGGAGCTGAGAGCATTACTTTCACATGTGTTTCATACCTGGAACCTATTGATGCCATACAAATCCACTGGATGGAATGGAAAATGAACACTGTAACAATTGTTCAGAACGACATAGTGTTGGTTGATGAAGCAAAGTACAGCGTGGCTGGGTCATCAAATATTTCAGCAATTACTATTATACAAAATCTAACTGTTCATAATATTCAAGTGTCAGACAGCGGTATTTATTCATGCAATCTTGAATCCACTTCTCAATTCTTTTCAAAATCGTCATCAAGTGCTGAGCTCTCTGTTAGTACTCTTAAACAAACGACGGACGCGATGGAACTCGTAAATGAGAAGGACAACAAAAAAACAATCATATACTTTACAGCAGGGGGCATAATTCTTGTACTCACTTTCTTAGGATGTATAGTGATCGCGTATAAAATACGGTCAAACGACTCAGCAACTGATAACAACAATATCTGTAGCGATGATATGGTGAACGAAAGACGGATTTCTTTTTACAGCAATATTGATACCAATGTAACAGGAATGAATACAAATGCTGTAACCGAGATGACAGAAAAAACAGAACCGACTTATCAAAAATATTTAAATATTGGTCTTAATGACGACTCCAGTAACATGGTAAACACTTTATGAAACTAAAAATGCTGGAATGGTGATAATATAAAGATGTATTTTAAAAAGAGAAAATGTAGTTTCTATTGCATAAAATATTTATTTATTTATAGAATCTTATTTTTAACTTTGTTATCATTGCTTTCCAATGGCGATAGTATTAAACTATAACAAAAGAATGCAAAAGGAATAAAAAATAATAATGTTTATGAACAATTCCTGACAAATACCAGAGAAATTAAACATAAAACCTGGAACTCACTGCATTTTACGACGGTCGACAAAACTGTTGTATGGCAAAATCAAACTGCTCCCTGTAAGTGCTAACCGATGCCGTCTGCTGGTATTCTATGGCAGTCTAACTGATCGTAATTAAAAACGATGTGGCGTTGCGTTCTCTAGAATCGCATCGACCGGCGATCGTTGAACGCATTGAGTGCCCAACTCAACTCACAAAATCTAACATGTTCATTATTATGCAATAACACAAATGTTAAATGGCGCCACCAAGTTAATTAAACTTTATTGTGGAAGGTACTACAGAAATACAATGTAATTACCAACAAACAAATAAATAGAGGGGAGTTAAACACAGTTCACCCTCCAAATTGAGACCATCTTTGTGACCTGAATATTTGGAGTGGTCTCTGGGTTTGGTCTCCAAATAGAGGATTAGCTTTGTATAATAAAATATTGATGATTATTATTTGGTTCTTAGAAAAAGTGGTCTCGAATTAGATGGGTCTTATTTTGGAATTAGATGGGTCTTGGAATTAGAGAGTGCACTCTAGATTGGTGGTTAAGGTGCTTGCCTTCCAATCCCAGGGTTGTGGGTTCAATTCCTGTAACAGCAGGTCTACAGACTCATTATGGGCCCTGTGGGAGAACACAGTCCACATATCAAGCGCCCTGAGCATCTTATGTTAGATGGATATGGCTTTACATAAAACTTCACTATTATTATTATTAACAGTGGAAATCTACTGAACTGGGGCAGACTGCTATAAAGCGGTCTTAACTGGCAGTCTTAACTCCTCGAATAAAGCCGGCTTTATCACTTAGACGGTCTTACTGTCACTCTGCTAAGACCATTGCTATAAAACAGTCTTCGCTTAGACCGCTTTGAGTATTGAAACGCAAACAAGCACTTCCTGGTAACATGAAATTGAGGGCGCTTGCTCAAAACATGTATATTTATCAAAATGAAGGTAAATAAACGTAAAACCGGATTTTACAGATGCTGAGAAGCTTGCGGAATATTCGTCGTTCGATTCTTAGTCTAGTACCTGAAACGCCATGATGTAATTGATATAAGACCGTTTTAAGCCTTCTAAGTGGTTAGACTGTGGTATAGCAATGGTTTATAATCATAGACAAGTAGTGACGTCACAAGTAAAGCCAGCTAAGCGTAAGACTGTCTAAAGACCGCTTATAGCAATCTGCCCCAGGATACCCAGTATAAAGAAGAAAGATTGAATGTATTAAATAAATTCCAATCAAATCAAACACTGAAATTCCATTAAACATTTGTTTACGCTTGAATGTCATGAATATAATTTTCTGGTAATCTTTACAATAAAATTTTGTGCTTCATCTGAATTCTTTTCACATTTTTGTTGGGGTCAACCATAGGTAATGGGGAAATTGCTGTAATATGTCAAAATACTGATTGACCTCAGCCCCACCATAGTCGGGGTTATAAGATCACCTTTGTTTACAGGCGACACTTCTAGACGGCTACAAATTATTCTCCCAGAATGTTTTTCATGTTGAAAAAGTCTGGTTTCTGGGTTACGTTGGCGTAAAATACACCAAAGGTAACCAAAGTTCAAAGACCTATTTTCCTTGGGGCCCTTCTGGCGGTGACTACTATAGGCAGTACCATGAAGAGCATCCCCTACGTTGCATATTACTTAATAATTGTAAAGAAATTAAGCTGATGTGATTATATGAAAATGGAATAAATCACAGACAGAAGCTAAAAGGTTTACGGCAGTAGATTTCTTTGTATAGAACATACAGGATTTTAAATTGAAGAAAAAGTAAGCTGCCTTATTCTTTTTGTTATAGGACAATTGTTACTTGAACTTTGTACCATTGCGTATACTGACACCATAGATATCAGATCTCTGCTACTTCTTTTGTGTTGTGGGTAACTACCATGACAGAGCTCTAAGCAACACTTTAAGTATTACAATAAAGTGGAATGTTTGTAATAAAGGGTAAAAATATTTAAAATTCTGTTAGGTGAACATTGTTACTAATGGAAGTCACTTACAGATAGGATAGGATTTTGGTGTAAATCACACCAAGGATATTAAACCCACTTAAAGTCTGAAAACTTGTTTCCAGTGGGATACTGGTGGTGAATTGGCAGTATACCGGAGACAATCCGCTACTCTTTTCCAAAAAGTGTACCGCATTGTTTAACATGCACATGGGCTATTATATTGCACATGGGACCAAAGGTTTAGACGTCTCATCCGAAAGACAGTGCGCTATCGTAGCTTGTATTTCAGCCCTTCAGCTAAAACCAAGGAGAGCAGTGATGGGAATTGAACCGGGGACCTAGAGATCTCCACAGTTCAGCGCACACATATGGGCTACCACAAGTTTACCCAACTGAGCTAAGAGCAGCAAAGCCTATCAACTAAACCAATGGTGCAGTAGCCAGTATGTGTGCGCTGGACCGTGGAAATCTTTACATAACCTTTCGGATGAGACATTCTGTAGGCTATTGGTCCTGTGTGCAAATTAGCTCATGTGCATGTTAAAGTATATGCAGTACACTCTTTCGGGAAAGTGTATGGGATTGCCTCCTTTCCCCAATTTACCACCACAACAACCACACTGGAAACAAACCTTTGGATTTTCAACATCAAATACAACAATAACAACAACATTTCTGTTTTTTTAACCACCAGCTCTTTCCGCACTACTGTATCAAATTTTCTTTGACAAACAACAATTGTATCTCCATATATAGTCATGATGTGCCCATATATAGTAAGAATGTGCCTATATATGGATGTGATGTCATCATGAACACAGGCCTATCACATTTTTTTTGTCAAATCAAATTTGATTTGGACAGGGCATAACTATGGAACACATATTAAACTCCCTGAAAAGAAATTCCCTAATGTTGTTTTCTATTATCAGCATTCAAGTCAAGAGAAAGACAGCTATGGGTAAAATGAGGCATTTGACCAGTGTAGTTGACCATGACCATGGTTCATCCTAAACAAATAAGACTTATTCAATTGTTCCTTGGTGTTTACGGTATATTACAGAATTTCAAAGCTGTCGTAATAAAATTCACGAATTTTCACTCTCACAAGGAAAGTTCTTCACTTATGGTGTTGGCAAGAAGGTAGTCAACTGAAACGATTATTAGTTACTATATAAAGGATGTGGTCATGCACAGATAATATATACTGAGTATACAGCCTAGAGCTGCATAGATATGAGTGTGATTGTCCAGGTCACTTGGTAATTCAGGAACCAAATAACAATCTTCAATCTTTTAACACAAAGCAAACCCTCTAATTGAAGACCGAACCATGAGACCACTCCAAATTTTCAGGTTCCAAAGATGATCTCAAAATGGAGGGAAAACTGTAGCAGACTAATAAGGTGTCACCCCTACTTTAGAAATTGGAAGAATATCAGAAAGAAAAGTTTTCTAAAATACCTTCATTGACAATGGCAGGAGACTTGGGCCTGTGACATTTGTCCAGCTTCAGAGAGTCCACTCCCCAATCTGCAAATGTCTGGATATCAGTCTCCTCATGTCCATAGAGTCCGGGGTAATTCTGGCAGGTCATGTTTCCATAGTCCTCATATATACCAAGCTTAAGTCCTCTCTCATGCATCTTCATGAAACAAAAGTGCACATCACTCAGTGTGGTATGTAAGAGTCTGGAAATAGGGGTGGGGGGAAAGCTCATGGGGCGTGAAGGTGAAGCGGGGGATCAATTATTAGCTAAGGGGACACTATCTTGCAAAATAAAGTCATTTGAGGTGATTTTTAACTACTTGACCTTGATTATTGGGGTGACTGGAGGGTGTGCGAGTATTTTTTTGTCTGTAGGGTCATAGGTGAGCGTGCCGTTTGAACCAGTGCCGATATTTTGGCTGTAGGTTGCGGCACCCCTGCCTTAACTTATTTTAATACATAATGTGAACTTATTATGTTCTAATGTACAACTTCGTAGGAATTACAAATGTGTAATATTTGGTACTTACATAACTAGCAAGACTTTTGATACCATTTGGGAATCGTTTCCTATCTGGCACTAGTCGGCCAGTGTCAGGATCTCTTTCTTCTTCCATCCAGCAGTCATCTATGTTCACGTAATTATAACCAGCATCCAGAAAACCATCAGATACTAAGTGATCAGCCATTTCTTTGAAGAGATTCTCACTTTAAGAAACAGCAATCAAGCAGAGTCACAAATCAATTATAAATGCTTCTTTTTTAAAAAAAATCTATTGTATATTTTTTTAAGCATGATTTACTTCTTCAATTTGTATTATATAAAAGAAAAATGATGATGCCACTCACATGGAACCAGGCAGAACCGCTGATGTTAACGCTAACTACAGCCTTAACATTGGTGCTGGTTCCAGTTGCTTTTCGCCCGGTTGGTGGAACCAAGTCTTATCAGATAAGGAATTAAAATGGAGGTCCAGTGTATACATCTGGCTCATGTGCACTTTAAAGAACCCATTGCATCTTTCGAAAGAGTAGGGGGTTACTCTGATGTTATGGTCCATTGCAGCCCCTGTCGTTGTGGAATTATGTGAACATGAAGCTACCATGAAGCGCCTCTTTACAACTGCTAGGTAGTCACAGACCACGCCCATACGCATTCAGCACAATGTCGCTGCAAGTTATGGGTTATTCTCGTACCTTTACCTTTTACCCTTATGATAGGTAGAAGTCTTGAAATAGGGGTGCGATCATTAAGTGAGGGGAAATATCTCACAAAATAAGATGATTTTTTATGACGAGCATAATTTTGTTGCTTTGAACATTTACAGTGGGGGGGGGGTACAAGCTTTTTTGGGGGGAAGGGGGTCGTGAACCCCGCATAACCCTATATAAACCACTGCATATAGATCGGGTGGATTACTATCCAAGAAGAGAGAAAGAGTTGATTAAGTGCCTTGACCAGATTATCTTTCATTTGTAGGCAAAGACATTCCATTCTGGAACCCTGGCTGGAGGAGGCTACAGTATATGCTACCCACCCCATGATGATGCACAATGCCTGTACAAATGCATGTCATAATGCACAATTGAAAAAAATCTGTGCCTAAATAGAAAAAAAAGCACAATAAATCAGATTAATTAAGCCCAATGCTTTGTTTTTTTTTTTACTTTGAAATATTGGTTATTTTTTATTCCAATGTTTATATTTCCTGTGCAAGATTCGCTGAGTTAAAACTTACTGTGTGGCTAGGTTAATTTTACTATAAGAAGAAGAAAATGTTGCGGAGGCTGTGTACACTAAATATAAAGAGGTACTGTAAATTGTTATCCAAAAAAGGTTTAACATACCTCACACAATTCTTGGGGTCATTGTCACAGTCTACATTGCAACGGAATCTTTCCCATGCCAGCCAGCCCATGGGCGGTGTTTGACCAAGTCCATTATCAAGTGCACTCACTATGGCAACATGAAAGCTGACAGATAACGTGATCAAGAATGGCCATCTTGACATTTCCTGCAGTATATAACATAGATGAAAACTTTGATAATCATACTTAAATCGCTCAAAAAAACCATCGGAATTGCAGTACATCTCCCCAAACATTTGTTGAATCATAATTTAATAAGTGAATTTGTCAATATCAGTAAATAAATTTACGTCGCGGCTTGGGACAGTACTGTATCTTCTCTTCCGTTTTCTAAAATATAAAATTATATATTTAAGGAAGGGACATACCCATTATGTTTACTAATCTCATATTTGTGAAGCAAATTTTACAAATACTTTGAAACAAAATACGATGTACTGTATTACACTTCTTGAATTTTTACGCTGGTGGCGGTATTTTATTGGATAATGCAATTTATGGTACCTTTTTTGGCAAACGGAAGATACGTTACCGTACCTCTAACCGCGGCTATAAATTTAATTTTTTACGATAAATGCTGAAACATACCTCGCGCAGTTTGCATGTAACTGTGCGTACTTTGAAACGACTTTAAAATAACGTCAGCAACAAATGAGCAAGATTTTGGCAAGAACAAACTGCACGCAACACCAATTCCATAGGTTTAAGTAAGCACCTCAAGAGTTCTAGTGAAAGCGGGGGAGGGGGAGGTTAATTGGTTTAGGCTAGTCGATCTAGGCTAGGCCTAGCAAACAAGAGCCTTAGTCTAGGTCCTCCTAGTACAGTAGATCTACTGCTGGCTACTGGCCTATCTATTCTATACAATACTACATATAGAACGTTGTAGTAAGTAGGCCTAGCAGCTAGCTAGGCTACTTAAACTTAGTCGGTCCTAGGGGAAAATGGTTTTCCAAAACATTAATTAAATAGATTAAATAATGATTTAGGCCCACAGACATACAACTCACTTGCCTACCGTTTAAATGTATTTCTCTGACTTTTCCGGTCCTTACTGCTCCACACAGTACGCCGTGTTCTAGATTTTGCATTGATTTTGTTTGAATGTTACCTCCATTAAATCATCACGCCAAAACATTTGCACGTGACCGACCCATCACGTGATTTGGAATGCCATGAATCGTGTTGAGGGCGGTGTATAAAAACAATATTCGCTGCTGACTGATGTTTTGTCCTACGAAGAAATTGGTTATAATATTAATAAGTGTAAGTTTTAAGCTACAAATGTTTTGGACGTTTGCGCCATGATTCTTTAATATTGTTCATTTACTTAATTAAGCCTGGTTATAAGCCCCAAATGTAGTAGTACTTAGGCTGCTCATTAAACTATTTAGGCCTAGCTAGGCCTCTAGTAATATTCATAAAATAATAGCCTAGGCCTAGGCCTCCTTCCTATACTACTATAGGCTAAGGTCTATACATACTATAGGCACGCAAGTGATGATGGAGGTAATGTATGGTTGGCTGTTACAGATAGAGAGTGTGTGCGCTCAAGAGAGGTAGACAAGCCGGCAGGCGAATTACAGAAGATCGGGCATATTTTCAAAGTGGGCCCGATCATCATAAAAATGGGCCTGATAGTGCTGGGCCCAGTCGGTCATCTGTAGTCAAAATCATTTCAGTTCAATGCATGCCATGGCTGTCGTTTGTATTTGTTGATGTTTGATATACGTAAATAAAATAAATAATACTCCGTGGCTAGAGATACAGTACCGTATTTCTACTTCCAGTTGCTAAAGGTACGGTAAATGGAATTATTTCACCATCATCCAATGAAGTGCCAGAATGTGTGTGACGTAATCTTACAAGACTGGCATTGCAGATCACTCACGACAATGAGCGGTGAAACGCGAATGATGTACTGTACCCTACTGGATATAATTAGAACATCAAAAAGTACAATACAGTACTTTGTACTGTCATCGACGATAGATATTTGTATGGTTCCACTCAGAGTAGACTCATGTTATTTATCTATATATAGCCGTATCAAACAAGGACTGACCGTGTACCAAACTCTTGACATAGAATCCTCTTCGTAAAGTTTACAGTATAGTTTTTCAATGCAAGCTTTGTCGCCCATACGCAATTCAGCACAATGTCGCAGCAAGTTATGGGTTACTCTCATACCTCTACCTTTTACCTTTATGATAGGTAGAAGTCTTGAAATGGGGATGTGATTATTAAATGAGGGGCATTATCTCACAAAATAAGGTGATTTTTAACAACGAGCATAATTGTGTTACTTCAAACATTTACAGTGGGGGGGGGGGCACAAGCTTTTATTTTGGGGGAGGGGGTACGTGCACCCTGCACACCACTATATATGCCACTGCATATGGATCGGGTGGATTACTATCCAAGAAGAGAGAAAAGAGTAGATTAAGTGCCTTGACCAAAATGATACTGTAGTATCAAACAAGGACTAACCCCATACCAAACTCTTGGCATAGAATCCTCTTATTAAAGTTTACAGTATATTTTTTAGTGCAAGTTTTGTCATGTAAATCGATTAGACCAAAGACTGAGAAGTATGTCAACTCTCTTATTAAACAAAGAGGCTAAACAAGGCCTGGGCATTGCTTGATATGGCTATAGATAAATGACAAGACTCTTATTACTGAGTGGAGCCCTTAAGTCTTATCGTTGCTAATACTGCGATTTTAGTGTTTTTTCATGGTTATGACATCATCTGATTTGATTTGTCAAAATATGTTTTTTTCGCATAACTAATAAATCATTATCGAATCGTTCTAGTGTAAAAACTTCTCTTATTTCTTTTATTTTCTATATGAACAATTGCTTTTTAGCTTTTTTATCGTTATCGTTATCGTTGAAGTATAAACAGGCCTTAATGACCCAGGATTTCAGTTAGACCTTGTATACTTTATGTATTTAAATTTTGGTCATATTTGGTCTTTCTGATAGGATGATAATGGAAGTTAATTTGACTGTTCTGTTGAGGCTGTTGGTGACTGCTTTGTCAGTGGTTATCTTTTTGTCTTGGACTGTTTGTGGCCTTGACAATGGTCTTGCTCTTACTCCTCCGATGGGCTGGTTGTCGTGGGGAAAATTCAGATGCAAAACAGATTGCAGAAAAGATCCAAGAAATTGTCTAAGGTTTGTAAATTTTACCTCACACACAAGATTAAAAAGGCTATAATGTCATTTTACTACCATCCATCATATTGACAAAAGTTTGAAGCTTAAAGATGTACACATTGTATTTAATGTGGCAACCGAGTCATTTTGTATAAAATATAAAAACATAAAGTAATATTAAAGTAAATCTGGCTTAGAACATGTATGAATGAATCATTCCAGTAACTTTTATTTGTTTACTTACAATAAACATTTTAAATTTTCTCATATTTGTGTTCTCTGCAGTTGAATTTTATATCTGTATTTTGAATAGTTGTGAAAGAGGGCCTTTTCATGTCAGCATTGCTGTTAGAACCACCCTCTCAAAATATTGTAAATTAAACAGTGGATGGTAGTAAAAAGAACAATATCATTAATAACATTGTAACAATGGTTATTATTAATATTTATAATTTATAATAATAGGCCTATGATGTGGTTTTAATCCACTTAGTGGAATTGATTTGCTGTCAAGAATTCAAGTGTCCACACCCACCACCACCTCCCCCATCATCCTCATTATAGTATATACTCATGGTTGTACTGTAGTTAAAGTAGTATTAGGTAGTTTTCGTTGCACGTTAACCTTTATTTTAACATAAGTACCCAACATTCAACGCGATAGCTCTGCCCCTTTTTGTAAATACATTGATAAATGCATGTGCAAGCCCGTAACTAACGTACATCGAGCACGTAAAATCCTGAAATTAACCCACTTGGCAACGCAAGATGAATAAATTGTAACGTCATCCATTAACGTTAATTTCGTGCGGCGAAAACTACCTATTAATTAATGGAGTATAACACTGGGTAGTTTACTGAAGCCAGGCACTCCCTGCATCCAAGGGTCATCAGCCAATGCGATTCTATTAGGAACGCAACGCCGCGTGCGCAACAGACACAGACAGCAGATAATTGGATTCTTTTTCTTACAGTGAGAAACTCTTCCAAGAAATGGCGGATACTCTAATCTCCGATGGTTACAAAGCCGCAGGGTATGAATATATAAACATTGACGATTGCTGGATGTCTCGTATGCGAGATCGGGAGCAAAGGCTATTCCCAGATCCGCAACGATTTCCTAATGGAATACAAGGCATTGCAAATTATGTAAGTACATATGGCTTCTTAAGACACCCTTTACATTAACAGCAATTACCACTTGTATTCAAATTCGTCAAGCTTCATCTTTTTATCTCCCTCTCTACAGATTAACTCTGTCCAAGAAAACTATTTATTCTACATCAAAGTTGTTACGAGTTATTTCTTTAACAATTTACTAGGATGCTCTCTGCTTCTGGTACTTCCTTGTTTTTCAAAAAATAGATTAACCTTTTTTGTAATTGTTAAGGGCTTCAATGGGGTAACCATGGATCCTTCTATTAAACAAGGCAATAATAGAAGGAAAACTGAAGCATCGCTTTGTTGGTAATCCAAATCTATGGAAGGCAATCACCGCCAAAAATACAATTTTAGACAATAAACGTGCTTTCTCAAACAAACAACGTACATTTACAAATAACAATGTATTAAAAAAAATAAACAACATACTTCTTACAAACAAAGAACGTTCTTTTTAAAACAAACAACGTATATTGCCAAACGATGTATTTTCTCAAACGAAGAACGTACATTGTGAAACGAAGAACGTTCCATGCCAAACAAACAATGTACATTGCCAAACGAACAACGTACTTTCCCAAACGATGTAAAATGCCAAATGAACAACGGAATCGTCCATTATTTCAACGGGGTAATTGTAATTTTATAGCGCACATACACGCTGAACAAGATAACGCCTTCATCATATCAAGTTCTTAGACTCTCTTACACAGAACTAAAAGGTGGTAGGTGGTTTCCAACAAGCAATACCTGCATTAACAGAATAACACTTATTATGGGTAATTTGCCCGATGATGCAGAGTTGTTTGCGGCCTGTGATATGGCATTCCTTTGCAATCACTTCGGACAGGAGTAGACAGAAAAGTATAAATTCTACATAAAAACCTGTTTCTTAAATTTACGAAAAAAAATTGAAAGAAAAAAGTATATAAATATATAAATTATATGAATACAAGAAACAAAAAAGAAAAACAAATGGGTGAATTAAATGAGATTTTTAAAGGAATATAAGGAAAGAAAAGGAATATTGCTACTAATATCTGATGATGGATTGTTCCATAGTTGAACTGAACGATATTTAAAAGTTCTTTTTCCAAAATCATTTTGCCATTCTGGAGGGTTCAAATGTTTTTCAATTTCCTTCCAGTATGTATGTTATGATAGGCATCAGTTAATTCATAAAAATTTGTTAGTATTCTGAAACATTGCATTTAAATGTCATTATACTATAAGACTGTTATGTTCCCATTGTTGATTTATATCAGTGTACAAAATAATATTTACCAAGTTGACCATTTTATTTTCATTTTTGTGGACAAAGGTGCATGATCGTGGATTGAAACTCGGTATTTACAACACATTTGGAAAAACTACCTGTATGGGATTTCCAGGGAGTCAGGGCTTCTTGGAACTGGATGCCAAAACATTTGCAGAGTGGCAAGTGGATATGCTAAAGATGGATGGTTGTTTCACACCTACCCATCTTATCCCAGATGGTAAATATTGGAACTTAAACTTAATGGACCATTCCGGCATGTCAGTCAAACTTAACAACTGACCAATCAGAACATTGCAAAGAATATGCGCTTGTCACATACACATGTCCGATAAATGCACCTTAGCAACAACATCCAAGGGCAGGGCTTAGTGGAAAGTTCCATTTATGGTAAAATATAAATTTTTTTATTTTGACTGAATTGCTGCTAGAGAATTTTGCAGAATTGATCAGGGTATTGCTGAAGTTTTTGTGGCCACTGCCAGTATGTTATGTTGCCATAGCGCAAGTAGGTGTCGTTAATTGTGCAGTATCACCATAAATGTGTACACATTTGTCCTTGTACATATGTGGACTTACTCAATTTGATACCTAACTGTAGCTCCGTCCCATCAGAAGTTACACAATTATGCACTTAATTTCATACCTCTGTTTACGCTTAAAAAGAATTCATTGTTTCTCCTAAGCAGAAAATCAAAACATATAATACAGTGGTGCTCTTGTTTATCAGTTTTTTTTGTGTTCCCCATTTTTTTAGCAAATATTTTTTCCCAACCCCCTACCATCAAAGTAGGCTATCAACACTTGGTAAAATACAATTTAATACAGTATTAAAATGGTATTATTAAATACTGGCCATTATGAAGATTTGAATAGCTTCCTCTAGGGTATAAGCTACTTATCACTGACAATGTGGTATCTGGCTAGGATCTGTAGAGAGCCCCCCTCTACGTACGGTACAAGCCGTCATTGAATGGTATTGTACCATATTAACGACACATAAAAGTATTGGCCAAAAAATACAACTTGTATTGACCAAAAATCTGCCCCAATCCATCTTAGATTATGGTAAATAAGCATTTATCATCTATTAAAATGTTGACTACCCTGGGATGTGAGGGGCCAAGGGTTGTGGAGTCCTAATGGAGTTAAGGGCATATTTTGATGTTTCCTGCTCATTAAGTGCTTACTCGGCCAATTTAGGGTCCTGGCATAACAAATATAGGCCTAGGTTAATTATTTTTTGGTTGGGAGTGGGGGATTGGGGACCCTGGCTCTGTTAGTAGAAGCTCATAGAAATTACGCTAGTGGTAATAAATCGAAAAGAAAAAGAAGGTGTCTCTAAATGTTCACAATTCTGATGAAAGTGACTTGATATTAGCAATTTATTATATATTTTAAGATGATAATTTCCCTCTTGATTTTTTCACCAGGGTATATGGATATGCATAGGTTCTTGAATGCTACAGGAAGACACATTCTATATTCTTGTAGCTGGCCTTTCTATCTAAGAGCTGATGGAAAACATGTGAGCAAACTTTACCTTGAATATTTAAATCATTCAGTCATTCATTCATTCCAATCATTTATACAGTATGTTAATTTATTCATTCTTTTTTAATTCATTTGATAATTTGTTCATTCATTCATTTTTTTATTTCGTGCTTATATATTTCATCTTTATTCTGGATTGTACCAGCAGTGCAAAGGCACTGGTTTTCTTTGTGGTCCAAATTAAATCACAAATGATAATAATACATATATAAATTTAAAAAATTAAAAGCAAATTATTATTATTGTTTTTAAAAAGAGAAAAATGGTTAAGTGAGAACATTGTCTAATGTTCTTGTTTACCTACTTAATACTGTAGTGCAAGGGCAAATTAAGGTTTGCACATATCAGCAATAGAACTTTCTTAATAACAGTTTTTTTATTTTATGCTAATTTATACTAATTTTCACATCTATTTTGCCAGCCTAACTATAACCACATTGCAAAATATTGCAATATTTGGCGCAACTCAATGGATATTGAGGATTCGTGGGAAAGCGTTCTGAAGATAATCGATGACTTTGCTGCACATCAGGATGCACACATACCGGCTGCTGGTCCCGGCCACTTCCATGATCCTGACATGGTGAGTAAATAATTTATAATTATGTTTAGGCAATGAGTGCGTTCATTGAGTGTTCAATCAGGCAGAGCTGATCATTTAAGGAGAGTGATCCACGAGACAGAGCTGGCGTTTTGGAGAGACCGATCTACCAGGCAAAGTTGATTACTGGCGAGAGTAACCCATCAGGCAGAATTGACAGTTAAGGGAAGATGGTCCACCATGCTGAGCTGATATTTGAGAACAGAACCAGGTAGAGCTGATGATTGAGGAAGGTGGTCCACCAGGTAAAGCTGATCATTGAGGGAAAGTGATCCACCAGGTAGAGCTGATCATTAACAGAGAGATGCTGATCACTTGTGCCATTGATGCTCTTATTTGTTTTTTTCATTTGTAAGATGGTAGCTGTTTTTAAATTTAATTGTTGTTTCAAAGTGATGTTTTGAATTGTAAATTGAAATACATATTCAGAAACAATCCAATTACATATTGAGAAGAAGACATGTTTATTTATGTGTCCAGATCATTATAATATACCAGGCTGGTACCAAGTTGATAATTCCTGGGTCATCTTATCATACAACTAATTGTATACATTCATGCCTATCTCATATAGGCATTTTGAAACGAGTATAATAGAAGTAAACTTTGAAGTAGCAGTTTACTTGTGAGCCCTGGGTAATGCCTGTGAAGATGCTCATTGTATTAATTTACCCAACTTTACTACAGACGATTTACTCCTGAGCAGTCTCGGGAGTAAGTGTGCTACTTCTGTGAACACAAGTAATGTAAGGAATATCACTTCAGAGCTTACAAGTAATGTTTTCATAATTGTTTACAATTTCAAAAAAGTGTGCAAAATAACCGTTAATAGACAACATAAGTGGCGATTATCACTTTCGAAAAATTTGCAAAGCTACATCTAAACAAAGGACATTATGCCATGTGTAAGCAACGTGTTGACACTTGTCAGAGGTATCGTGCATGTCTGTTTTAACTTTACTTCAGATGGAAGGCTGTTTGAATATAACTATTGTATATTGCTTGGTTAATATGGTGGGTATGTCAATATTATTTGGAATGCTATCATTGATATCAATATGTTTTTTTAATTCATCCATTTATATCAAATACATTTAATAACAAGATTTTGCTGGATCAAGTGGCAAAGCTTTGTGCGGGTTAGATGTTATGTCAAAGGTCATGAAATGACATTCATGCCCCTTGAATTGTTCATGAGGCTTTTGCATCCTGTAGTTGGCAGGAAGAAACATTGATGATGTCTCTTTTGTGTATAGTAGTTTCTTTTTTTCACGCTTTTATTTTTTCAATTTATGAAATTTACAGTACTTAGAATTAGGCATGTATGGATGGGGTGGGGGGTGTTAGTGGGTTGCAATATGTCTGAATTTCATAACTGAGTCAGTACTTAAGTGATCTAAATAATACAATATTAACAAAAAGAACCTAGTGATCAATAGTGTTTTATTAAACTAAGCTGTGGCTAAACACCAGTTTAGCCAACTGATTTATGCTCTCTGCTTAGAAAACCAAAACTCATTGTATCTTGACTCTCTCTAATTACTTTGAATCTCAATGGCTTGCAAACCTGCATGCATTGCTCTCTCTTAGGAATATTTTTGACTTTGATCTACAATCTTGGCAAAATCCACTAGATAAAATGGGCTTACTTTTTGGGCTGGCTCAAATTCTTAAACAAAGTGTTTTTTTTTATCTTTCAAAACAATTCTTAGGGACCATAATTTTCAAGAGAGTATATAACATAGTGCCCTGTTCCACAACATTTTTAGCCCACGACCCAAATTATATGTCAAGCACTCAGACGCGACCCATCGAACCTGAAGTCAATAAAATGTCAATCATTTTAAAAAACACGAGAGGGATAGCGGGAAAAACCACCCATTTGTTTCTTTTGTGAATTGATTAAATAATTTTTTTCGAGACCCAAAGGTTGCGGAACGGTGACAAATCCGAGCCGAGAAATAAGAGGGAGAAAAATTTGAGTTAAAGAGAGGAAAGGGGAAAAAGGAAGGCGACCCGTAAGTTCAAAGTGGCAATCCAGCAGTGGGAGAAAGGAGAGTTCGATTGTTTGCCACTTACGTATTTACACCAACCATGGTGGGGTGGACTTCATATTGTGCCCCCCCCCCTTCAGAAAATCTCTGGATCTGTCCCTGAAAACTTGCTACAAAAACAGCTCCGATTTTCGTTGTAGCCAACTGCTCTATGCTGCTCTCCTCTCTGAAAAACATGGCCTTTGAATTGCAATATCTCTCATCACTGCACACAAAATGCACTCGCTTAATACAAACTATAGTGGCCTTGATTTAAAGAACCAAAGCCTTTAATAATCCAGTTAAAATGGGCATCAAATCCTTTTGTAAAAATTACAATAAAGTGCAATTACTGGATCAGTGGTTAATGTAAGGCATAATATTCCGATAAATACTCCCATTCAGTACAGGACGGTCACTCTATCCAGCAGATACCCAATATAGCGTATTCAAATCACTCCATCGTCAGTTCATCAGAAATTCATGATGTTGCGTATTACTCACACCTTCGCTGTGGTCATTGCATTGACATCTGGACTAAGAGGAATTGAAGCAGCACAACCATGTCCTCTTTTCTGGACACGATTCCAGAATCAATGTTACAGGTAATACCACTTGGAAATAAATTAACATTTATTCTTTCTTTACTTTGTTTCACAAAGCAGAATCTGCTAGGGAGTCCAAATGAAACACAGTTTATGTCGATTCCCAATGAATGCCTTTAATTTTCTAAAACATACAGTACACCTACAGTACACCGTTACAGTGGAAGGAAAAGCTCAATATTTTCTGGGCTTACTCAAGTTAATAAAAAGGGGAAAATGGTTTAAAATAATTTATAGTTAAGATAAAAACAAAAATACAAAGTCTATTGATGCTTATCACTGTTCTGTTTTGTGCATTATGCCCTAGATTGTTCAGTAACGATGGTGTCAATATAAACCAGGCTGTTGCTGAACCAAAATGCAATCAGTTCTCCTCGTGTTCCGGATCACTTGCTCACCTTCCGTCTGCAAGCACTCCAGCCGAATACGACTTCCTTCGGGTTTGGCTTGGTGGAATAATCGAGAATCTTGCTGTTACTCCTGTTAATATTGGGCTGAAAGCTGATTCCACTGGGAAGCTGTTTGGGTATGATTACACATATATAAATGAATTGTATCCGCACTTGCCCGGTGGAGGCAGTCCTTCTGTGTCATATGTTATTGATGAAACTGGGATTGCAACTGGCACATCTACGTTTTATATTTGTAAAATGAATACAGCAGGAAATACAAATTTCAAAGATCTCTACTTTGAAACTGCAGAAGAAATGTAAACACTTCAGGCAGTGGCAGAGATTCTAGTGGGGTTGGGAAGCCTGCCTTGCCCACACTAGGTATGAGTGTCAGATCTCAGTGGGTCAATTTACAGAAACATAATCATACATTTCTAGAACTGTTTTTTTGTTATTTTTAATGTCAGTTGTGTTGGTCAAAAAATGTTCAAATTGGTGGTTTCATTTTTTTTATATACTATATTTCAGTTTGCCTTGATAGTTGGCCAGATCATCGGTGTATTGTAGGTGGGGGTGTCTGGTAGTTGATATTGTGTGGTAATTTTTTCCCCTCATTTGCGTAAATTCAGCACTCACAGGAAAGTACTGCATGGCCTGTTGAGTGGAAACGACCAATGAAATGCGGTTATTACCTAAATATATAATAGTAAATCCCTAATATATTATGGTACTGTCCACACTGCGTTTCTGTAAAATTTAAAATTGGGTTTTTGGTATTTTTGAATTCTACGTGTATTAATCTTAAAAATATTTAGACTCCTATGAAACTTGAGTATATTAGAGAAGTTTTCTATTTTTAATTTATTGCATATCATCTTTTAAATATTTGTAAACATTAATGCAGTTCAGTTTTATATGTAACTGATTATGGTGTAACAAAGAATACTTGAATATATTAATGATATTGATGATGATAATAATAATGACTTTGATGATAAAAATGAGGATGATTAAAATGATGGTGACAGCATTGTTGACAGCAATGGGCTTATTCAACTGGTTCATTTCATTGAATACGAATTTCCGTTGAGTATTATTTTCATTCGACTGGTTCGTAAAATAAACTTTGTTGACAACGAAAATTAACGTAACCAGAATGCGTTAATGAGCGTTAAGTTCCATGTGACCAAAAAAAAAAGGCTGATTGGTCAGTTTATCAACAACATTTGCGTTAATATAATTTAGATTAAATTTCAAAAAATAAAAATTATAATATTTACCTATATTGAAGTTAAAAAATAATAAAAAATAATTGTGGGCTAACAGAATTTAAAAACTGGATGAAAACATTTTGTTTACGAAAAACCCATACTGCCACAATCCGAAGTAGGATTTTAGCACTGCGCAGGTGGGCGTGGTTTAACGAAGAACGACCAGTCGAATACGGCCAATGTTGCGTGTACTGATAATTCAGTTCTTGGATTGTCTGAAAGTGGTTTGTATTTCTTGTATGCAAAATGCATACAACAGGAATATAAATTTTAAAGATCTTCTTTGAAACTAGAAGTAAGGTGGGTTTAGAAACTACCGCACTACTTACCGAACTGAATTGACCAATAAATGTAGTTTATTACAGTACCTAATTAATATTTATGAAATATAGTAGTAGTAAATTCCTAATATGGTACTTCCTTATTATTAGTTATAGGTAAAGGTGACTGTCTCTGACAAACTCTGTATAATGGGTAAAAGTAGATTTTTAAGTTTTAGATTTATAAATAAAATATGGATTCTGATATAGTTTTTTAAAAAGTATTCAAAAGGAAAACAAATCATGTTTTTGTTTTATTTAAAGATGTGTGGAAATAAATGAATGAAATGAATAAATTTTGTATAATTGATATTAAAATAAAAAGACATTTGGGACATCATCACTTTTCAATTGTTTTTATTGACTATCTATGAGAACGACACTGTACATGTTGACAGAATAAAAACATACGCCTTGAGGTGGAGATTCATTTGTGGCTTCCTGTTGTTTCCCCATGTTTTTACAATTTATGGAAAGTAATGTACTTGTCTGGTAAATATACTTTGTTAGCTCTATTTTCATAAAGATCTGTGTGTCTGTGTCAGAGTTTGGTTGAAATATATCTCTCAGATTCAGAGACTTTATGGGAGCAAGTTGCAGGTGTTTTACAGTAGTACAGTATTTGGTAATCGGAGACGAGTAGCTTTTAAGTGCTATTTTTTCACTTTCACTCATTTTACCACCTACAAATCATGCCGTATCTATAATAAACTATTACATGAAGAACCTAATCGTCAATGGTGCGTTAAGAAGGTCAAAAAATAGAAGTTTGTTGTGAACAAAACTTTAGTCGATTGCTCTGCTGCTCTCCGCTCTGAAAAACACAACTTGTCTTTTTTCTGATGGCCTTTGAATCTCAATGTCTCCCACCACTGCACAAAAAAATGCAATCGCCTATATGATCTACAGTATAGTGGCCTTGAACCGAGGCCTTTAATAATCCATTTAAGGTAGGCTTATTATTTTGGGTGGGCTAGTTCAAATTTTTGAAGAGTATCTTTTCTGATAGGGATCATCTATTTTTTTTCATCATGATGATGTGATGCTTGTTTTTTTTTAGATTATTTTATGTATTTTTTAAGTTCCCCAGAACCTCACTACTGTTGTTGTTGTTCTTGTTGTTACCAGAACTTTAAAAGCGTCCAGTTATTTTGTACACATAAACTAGAGGTTGGATTTACAATAAACATAGCCCTTTTTTTTAAAGTTTGACTTCAGCATACCCCCTACACCTACAAAACAAAACAGAGGTTTCAGCAAGGACTGTACATTAAGTACCATTACCTGTCGCATGGATGGTGAGGTCGGTTAGGGGTGTGTTCTAAGGGAATAAAGAAACCAAAAGTCATGAGTTCGAACCGAACCTTTTGAATCTTTTGAAAACCCAGTATAATAACTTACACCACTGTGTACTGTGTATTAAGCATAGAAGATATTTCCTCTATGATTTAAGCATGTTTTAATAATGTCAACAAAATCCTCGTCTGAAAGGTGCATACACGAAACGTTAAATGCTAAATAGAGGTAACCTCAGTTTAATACGTCGACTGGTGAGCGGTCGCTCTTGTTTATATAACTAAATGTACACTGTTAACAACCAACCCTTAGTGTAGTGTTCTATAGATGTGCATCACACATCGATACAAATGCCTTTTACGATATATGCCTATATTCAAGCACTGTAATTATTATTTATCTTTTTTACATTTAGCCTTGAAAATGGTAAGTAAACCAGCAATAACTGATTGGGATAAATCGTCATTTGAACTTAACTCCTAGGTGGGGGTGGGGGAATACACTCTAGTATCCAACCAAAACTGTGTTTCACATTTACAATGACATTAATAACGTTAAGATGAAAAATAAGTTTTCAATTTAACTTGTTAAAAGTGTCATTTGAAATATTAAATAAAAAGAGTTGATAGCAACATCAATTTTCAATTATTTTTGTTGGCTTGTATTGGTATAAAAATTTCATGTGTTATTTCTAATACCCGAAGATTCACAAAACAGGAACATACATGTACTCAGGGGCAGATCCAGAGAATTTCTGACTGGGTGTCACAAAATGAAGTTCACGCCGCCACGCCCACCTCAGCCTCACCATGTTTAAAAAAATTGTATTGGCTTACAATTATACCAATAGGTCCATGATTATACAGTGTTTATGTTTGTTTAGGCCAACCCTATCTTTTTCATTGAGCTAATTGTGTTAACTTGATCACTATATGACAATCTAAAACACCTCTAGAAAGCCTGTGTACCCCACAAGTGACTAGACTCAATATTTGGTAAGCTGCTCGAGCCAGATTTTTTTTTGTGTATGAAAATTCCAATATAATACAATACAAACTAATCTGTAGATTCTTGGTTCGAAATTGGAGAGGTCAGTGCAATTCTATTAGCGTTTCTGTTGCAGTTTTTTCATTTTACCCTTCAATGGCTTTGCTCTTATACTTCCTTGTATAGAAAGCAATCACAACGGTGAATGGTGTCAACTCTCTTCCCATCAGGTTTAAGTGGCCCTAAGGAAAAATATATTATAACAATTCCCTGAATTGATTTAGTTGTATAGTTAATTGGTGGGTGTGAGAAAGGAATGGCATTTATGCTTCTGTCAGTGTATCTTCATGCTTTTTTATATTTTCAATAAGCATAATGCATTTAGAATTTTAATTGTCTTGTATATGATTATGAATATATTTAGTGTCTAATTTATATTATTGTAACTAAATTATATACTAAGTTTTTTAATATTCCCCCACTGATTGTGCACTGGTAATAGTAAAACCATAAATGAAAACCAATGACATTTTTCGATCAGAACTTTCAATTATAACTTTCATCAGGAAGGCTAATTTTACTTTTATTTCATATACAAAGCGAAAATTAAAGAATCCTGTGTCTTGTATCGATATGTGTTTAATTCTTTCTTATTGTGAATAGGACATCTTACCTGTTGATATACAAAATGAGAGTATTTTTAACTTAAATCAGTTCTCAACTACTGTAAACTTAAGAATTACCTTTACAGTTTGAACTAATTTGATCATACAGTGCTTTCAATATTGGTGTTGTTGTTGTTGGTGTTGTTGTTGTTGTTGCTAAAACCTACCTTAAGGGGAAATTAGACAATTGACAAATTAGAGAACAATTGAAAAAATGACATTAAGAGGAAAATAACATGACATTAAGGGGAAAATATCACAAAAGATATTCCCCCTAGGTCCAACTTAGTGCATGTTATTATAATTATTATCATCATCATCATCATCATCATCATCATCATCATCATCATCATTATCATTGTTATAAATATTACTATGTAATTGTTTGCTTTTTTGTTGACACATGTTCTTTGGGATTTCCCCATTTCCCATGAAAGTGACTCGAATATTTTTTTGCTATTGGATTCCTGTGGGTGAGCATGTGGTTTTTTCCTCAGTTCTTGTTTTCTCTATGTTGTGCTTCTGTACTTTTCCGGAATTAGTGAATGAATGAATGGATTTTGTGATGTTTTAATATGAAAAAAATATGAAAAATATGCCAAATTCTAATATCAATTAATCATTAAATATATCAAACAAGTACTGTAACTGCAAATGTTTGTGGATTTTTTCAGTTGGTTGTTGGCGGGTCTGGATTGGATTTGGCACAGAGCCAGACGCAGTTTGCATTGTGGGCGATCCTGGCAGCGCCTCTTCTGATGGGTAATGACTTACGGAGTGTTAAACCAGAGTTCCGCGATGTTCTACTTAACACGGATGTAATAGCTGTTAATCAAGATCCGCTGGGAAGGATGGGTCAGAAAATATTTACGGTAACTTTGTTTTTCATTTTATTTTTTATCCATTAGGCAAGACTTTATTTACTCCTTGTTTCACATAATTATTTTTTTAAAGGTCATCGGAGGAGGGCGGAATAAAAATGAAAATAACATAATATTTAAACTCTGTATATACTGTTCATGTGAAAAAACTGATACACCCATATTTGGGTGTAATATGACATCATCACGCCCATATATGGGCACATCACACAAATTTGTCACATAAAATATGTGTGAACATGGGTGCCCTTTGGAAAATAGGCACTTTAACAAAAAGTCGTAGTTATTTTATTTATCATTTTTTTTAAATTTTAAAATTGACTATTAACTATTTGTTAAGGAAATGTTTGAATATTTGGTTGACTTTTAATCAGGGTTGGATTTGTGTCGGATTTATGTTACGTGATGTCAGTTACCTCCCGTGTGTTTATGTCAAATACTTTAATCTTTCTTTGATAGGACATTGGGTAGCTGGCATGCTAACTATTTCCATCTGCTTGTTTCATATCATCTTGGTTTATTCTGTCGTACAAATCAACATTTATTTGTGCTTACCTACGTTGTGTGTGTGATATTATTTATATTGAATGCTACTGTGTCTAATGGATTTGATTGTGCTCCCATCATTAGTTGAGTTTATGTAGTCATTTAATAATACAGTAGTAAAAGCATACAAAAACATGAATTTGCGGAGATGGGTTACTTTCTGGGAGCTCTCACATCTTACTTGCGGGAGTATGAGACTCGCAATTTATAAGACTCTCAAGAGACTTGAAATCCCTGAAAATCAAAATGCTGAAATTGACCGAAACATATTTATGGGCCCGTTTCTACTGATGAGAAAGAACCGATATTAAGAACTGTCTTTTATAAGAATGGTTCTTTATGGCAGTAGAAACGGGTGTCACAAAAAAGAACCGTTCGTTTTGGTGTAGAACGGTTTTATGGCACAGAATCAATACCGCACCCCCTTAAACTATAGTGAATGAACCATCAACATAAGAGACGGTTTGATTAAAGCACTGCATCTATTCAACCACATAAACGCAGGGTTTTTCAAGCTCAGACCTGTTTAAGGCTTGGTTTCCATACAATCGCTACACGCTATTGCCAACAGCTTTCGGTGATGCTGATTGGTCGGTCGAATCGTGGAGCCTTCCCGATTGTGTCGGGAACTGCGATGCAGTACAACGATATTGCACTGAAAACACTAGCAACAGTAGCAATTGTATGGATACATGCTTTGTGCACCTTGAGTTTCGGAGAAGCTGCTGTTAGCATTTTTTGTCCCATCTAATTGTATTAATATAATGATTTTCAGAAGTATTTTTTCTTTGCTTTTCGATGCTATAGGATTCCGTTCGACGTGTGGAAGGTTGGAAACGGGAATTAACCAATGAAAAATATGCAATTGTGTATTTCAATCGCAACACAAAAGAAGAAACTCTTTACAAGACCTCACTCACAGCAATGCGATTGCCACGGAACCATACATATGATCTTCGGGATTTATTTTTGAAGAAACATTTTGGACATTTCAAGGTCGAGGAGGAGTTTAAGATTTCGATCCCACCAAATGGCGTCAGAATGTTCAAAACTTCATCCTGTTCACTTCCAAAGAATTTTGTTCACGATGGCTTGTAATTTAAGTGGGTGGACACTTCTGTATTTATCTGTCAGATTAAACAGACAATATCTAGGAAGAATTTGATATCACTTGCATAGGCTTGTGTCAGACTTGATCGTACAAACCTTGTTTTTTTCTGTCTGTCAGACACTGATCTACTGCAGATCAGTGGCTTTCGGACCCCATTGGAAATAAGTCTGGTTTACAAGCACTAGACTTACAGGTCATCCAAGCATTCAAATAAATACATCTCACTACATATTTTTGATGTATTTTCTCATAATTTTAATGTAATATGTGACATTGAATTGAATGCGAAATAAATTAAATCAAATTAAATCTAAGGGTATTGAAATTTAGGGGGGAGTGGCGGGGAAAGATGGGAGTGTGAAGGTGAGGGGTTGCTAGCTTTCAAAATAAGGGGGTATAGTGTGAGATGATTTTATAAGTAGGCCTACTTGAATATATTTTTTTTGCTTCAAAGGTTTCCAATAGGGGGCACATGCTCTTTTGTGGAAGACGTGCATTCTCCCCCATCCCCTTCCCTCTAAGCAAAATGCACAAGCAAAGGACTGAAACCTCGTCCTCAAAGTTGGGAAAATTAATATAGAATCTGCATATTTTAAATGTATAAATTATTATTTTAATGTAATCTAACTAGGCAATATTCACTGGTGCTTTCATGTATGTATCTTCAAAATGGCCACAAGGGTGTCCCCATCCCAGGGTTAGATGTACAAAATAAAACAGTATATTTTTTAATAAAATTAAACTACGTCCAGATTTATTTGGGTTAAAATCAAAGCATGTGATGAATGGAAGTTAATTGCTTATATTTTAAGTTAAGTCATTAGCTTTTAACTGAAACGAATAATTAAGACCATTAGCTATATGTTTGTGTAGATATGCTTGTAAACAATTTTACTCTAATTCTACAGTACTATCCATGAAACTTAATTATTTAATTCTATGTATCATTACAATGTGGAAAATGTCATTTTGATTCTCTGTCAAGGAGAAAAGTATAGTCCAGTCGGCTATAACTGGTGGTAGCCACTGTGTGTGCGCTGAACCGTGGAGATCTCTAGGTCCCTAGTTCTATTCCGATTGAAAATTTTAACGGTACTACTGTAGGTTTGGTCTACAGGAGTTCGTGCTTCGAACAGGTCATTCCATTCATAAAAGAAGCCTTTTGATGGAGAAAGTGTACCTTTTTGTCCAGGTCGAAACTAACTCCGGCTATATATGTTACATTTTTAATAAGTCTATGTTTGTATACGCATAAGGCTTCCTCAGGGTTTGTAATCTCAAAGATTATACACATCTAGATGTGTATAAGAGACAGTATATATACCGTATATCATCATTATATCATCATTAGAACTTATTTTGTTCCTTTTAAATGGGTTTTTTATTTGAGTTTTTTTAGTTTTTTGTTTTTTTTTCGGAATTCATCACCTAAAGAAAGGGTATTTATTTAAAACCAGTACCCATACAGCATGCATACTGTACAATGAAAAATAAAATCTCACCTTTGTTTATATTATTGTTATTGTTGTCCTTGCTGCCGTCCCTGAATTGAATGTACAGTGTTTTGTGTCTTCAATAATATGCGTTAATGTCAGCTTAACAGCATGTTAACAATATATTGTAAATTGACTTATGCAACAGCAGTACTTTTCTTAAATTTAATCTAAACGCCATATCGTTATCGTCGTCGTGGACGTCGTCATGGTCTTCGTTAGTCGCCATCCTTACTAAATTGAATATAATTTGTTTTCTTTCTTCAATAATATTCTCATTCCACAGCAGGTATAAACTGAATGCAATAACAGTACTGTACCTAAATTTATCGGAACGCATTATCGTTATGTAAATAGTTTTATTTTATATTGGCCTAACGTACGGTATATAGAATGTATGATTGTAACCTTGGTGTTAAGAAACACCTTGAACATTAGTAAATACTGTAATAATATATATGAAATAAATTGAAGATAATGGCCGTATTCGACTGGTGGTTCTTCGTTAAACCACGCTCACCTGCGCAGCGGTAAAATCCTACTTAACAAAGATGACCATTCGAATAGAAAACTTGTAAATACTCGACAAAACAAAATGGCTGCATAGTTACCGCGATACACGCTGCGTAGTCAAGATTGCTTCAGCTTGTGGCAGTATGGGTTTTTCGTAAAAAAAAATATTTTCATCGCGTTTTTGAATTCTGTTAGCCTCCAATTATTTTTTGACTTCATGTGGGTAAATATTATAATTTTTATTTTCTGAAATTTAATCTAAATAGTATTAACGAAAATGTTGTTTCTAAACTCACCAATCGGCCATGTTTGTTTTGGTCTCGTGGATAACTTAACACTGAACGCATTCTGGTTTACGTTAATTTTCGTTGTCAGTCTAGTCTATTTTACGAACCAGTCGAATAGAAATAATAGGCCTATTCAACGAAAAATCGTAGTCAACGAAATGATCCAGTCAAATACGCCTAAATTTGTTCCAAGTTTCCGTGTCTGATTTTGATTTGCATCATGCAAAAAATAAATCATGGAACTTTGAAAGGAATGAACCCAGGACCCAGGATAAAAAGGCAGTGCAGTACGCAAGCGTCTTAACCACCATCAGCAATGCACCACCAATTATGTAGTATCTTGTTAATATGTAGTATGACTACAAAAACAGCTCACACTTTTATAAACTGATGTAACATCAATACCATAAATCATCCAACACAGCCCTGATTGCAACATTGAAACCTGTTCTGATTTGACAGTTGTAAAGACCTATCATTATAACTTCATGTCTTAATTATATATTTCTGACATTTTTTATATGCCACCAAACAAATCCTATTAGAAATAAGTAAACAAACATTTGCAACCTTTCAGTTACCATTATTAAACACAACGCGCATTCCTATCCATCAAAGTTTCAAATGTTTAAAATTTTAAATACAATATATGAAAAGTAATAATAATAATAATAGTAATAATAACAATAGTAATACCGTAATAGTAAAAAATAACAATAATGGTGGTGATGAAGATGATGATGACGATGACGATAAGTTCAGATAAGTTTAATAAGGGTGTAGGTCTATAATTAAAATTAAGGAATCTGTGGTGATTTTCAAAGCCACGTGTTTTCCCACGAAGGAAAATAAAAGTTATAATACCCACGGGCCTATTCGTCAATTTCTATATTGTAACGTGTGGTCATTACCCACGGGGCTATTCGTCAAGTTCTATATTGTAACGTGTGGTCATTGTGAGCAGGTGGATAAACTTGCTGATTGAATTAAAATGAACTGTTTTTCGACTAGATTGTTGTTCAACATCTAGCGGAACAGCAGTAACCATGCCTCAACAATTTATCTCTATTGATACATATTTATTTGTTTTATTGTTCCTCTTGTTGTACTTGGTTCTGACTAAAAGGTCTGGAGTGTCGCACTGGACACTTAGAATATTGGTGTAAATAAAAATAATATATATAATATATATACTTGAAATGCATTGGTTCAATTCCCATTTATTTAAAATACAATGCTTTGCAGTTGTCCACTCCCTTTATATAGTAGATTGCATGTTAGCAATCGTTGCACTGAAGATGGCGAAGGATTTGCCGAAACATGTCTGTTTTGTAACAAGTTTTATAATAAAATTCATTAGGCCTTGCCTATATGGTATTGCGGTTGAAAATTATTGTGGTATTCTTAAGATGTATTTGCTGTCTGCTACTACACAAATTATACTATAAATAACTCATTACACTCTGAAAACCATCTGGCTGATTCAAGGCTAAAAAAAAAATTCGGTAGTACGACGTTTAGCAAAGCAGTATTAGTTCAATAAACCAGACCTGTGCCGGGGGCTATAGTTTATATTGTTAGCTAATAATAAGTAGAGTTACAGTACATATGTATGTAACAGTATGTGAGGCAGTTATTGTGTAGGCTATTGTAAATATTTAAGTGAACATGTTAATTTGTAATATTTATTAATAATAATAATAATTAATATTAATTAATGGATGTAGACTGATGATAATTGATGTATGCAAACTTTTTTCCAGAGATGTAATGTGTGTTGGCCGGTACAATGATTATATATATGTATATATATGTATATATAATATATATAATATATACATATAATATATATAATGTATAAATAATATAAATAATAAAAAATAAAAATAAATGGTATCAACCAATCAGAATCAAGTTAACAATACAATTAGTTGATTGGACCACAAAATATAAGTTCAGTGACAAGTTAATGGGCGAATTAATTACAAGTAAACCATGATAAGATGTCGGCAAAATGATTATGTAAGCGATAGTTTATTGAACCAGCTTAATGCTAAGACTTATTTAACTACAGTAAACAGGAAATAAGACATAGTAAGATTAGTATAAGGTCCAATATAACGTAATTAAAACAATTGTGGATTAGAATATAAATTGCAGAAATATAAAGGTGTAGGAGTTTAAATATATGTATGAGTTTATATATATATATATATATATATATGTATATATATATATATATATATATATATGTATATATATATAGGCCTAGGCCATATAGGGTTACTGTATTTTGAAATAAAATATTACTTACTTTGATTACCAGATATAGATAATAGAAAAACTCTTTCTTTTTCAAATCTGCACGCCCGAGAGGTTCGTGAATATATGTATTTGAAATTTATTTTAAAAGACATGAATTTTGTTAGCATGTAAGAATCGGTATTTAACAGGTCGAGTGGCCAAGCGGTACGGCCTTAAACCATTCTCTATGCTTAAACATATGCGCTGGTTCCAGCCGCTCTTCGCCCATGGTCGGTTGTTAGAACCAGGCCCGGGATTTACCAATCTCAGCTTAGCAAATGTCTTAAGTCAAAAAAAGTTAAGATGTTCCTAAGCAAATATTTTAAGCAGATTTATCAAACCATCTTAGCAAAATATTAGCTTAAAAATCATCTTAGATGGCGCATGCGCACAACCGACTTTTTAATTTTAAGCAATTTTGAAGCTAAGCAATATTGATAAATTTGACTTAAGCAAAAAATTGACTTAAGTTGAATTTAAGCTGATTTTCTAGTTTGATAAATCCTACCCCAAGACTTCCTGGATACGGACTTAAAATGGAGGTCCGGTATATACATCTGACTCGTGTACACTTTAAGGAACCCATTGAATCTTTCGGAAGAGCAGGAAATCACCCCGATGCTGTGGTTCATTTCAGCCCCTGTTGTTGTTGAATGATGTGAACACGTAACTACTATAAGCGCCTCTTTACGGCTGCTAGGTAGTCACTGACCACGCCCATACGCAATTCAGCACAACTTCGCTCCAAGTTATGATTATTCTCCTATCTTTACCTTACCTTTACCTTTATAAGCGAATGAAAAAAATGAGTATAAAACACTGTTCATATATATAAGTACGACAATGGTTTTTTTTTTTTTTTTTTTTTTTTTTTTTTTTTTGCGTTTTTTTTTAAATTGGGTTGAGTGCATACTTTTAAACTTGTTTGATTTCAAATGAATTTCTGTTATTTTTAATGGACAATAAAAACTATCTTGAATCTTGAAAGCAAAAAGGGGGACATGACTGAAATAAATGAGGTTTAATCCGCGAACGAGAAAAAAGTAGGCAATGTTCACGACGTGTTTGATATAGGCCTACTGCTTAGCTCAGTCGGTGGTAGCTACACTGTGTGTGCACTGAAAACCGTGGATGGAGATTTCCAGGTCCCCGGGTTGATTCCCATCGTTATTCTTCTTGCGTTCCAGCTGGAGGGCTGAAATGCAAATACGATAGCGCACCGTCTTTCGGATGAGACGTTAAAAGTCGCTTGGTCCCGTGTGCACGTTAAGAGAACGCAGTACACTATTCGGAAAAGAGTTAGGGGATTGTCCCTGGTGTATTGCCCAATCACTATAAGAAAGAACCACACTGGAAATAAGTCTTCTTTAGACTCTTGTAGGCTATCCTTGTTGTTTACACCGAATAAATCCATCTGCCCAACTAATTTAATCTATTGATTTATAATCTTGGTGACTCTCTTTTTAAACGTCCCAACTGAATTTGATATACCAAAGTTTTTTGTTATTAGGCTTAATTGGTAGAAGTAAATATCTCATCGTGCTGCTACAGGAATACATTGGACGGGACTCGCACTTTAGGTCCAAATACCTCTACATGATAGGGCAGTAGATTGATTTAAAGCAAGGTAATAAATTGTTGATACCTAACTTGATAGTGTTTCACTTTTGGTAATCCTTGGAGGACATTTTATATTGTGTTTTTTTTTTTTTTTTTTTTTATAAAAAGTTATAAGAATTTAAAAATAAT